TTAAAGTAGAACGTAATGTGCAGAATGAGCGAGGGATATTTCCTGATGATAAATCCTCACCGCATGTATACCGTTATATTACTTTTGTAATTACTGTGTTTTTTTATTACTTGTTTCTTTACTATTTTTATACATAAAGCTTTCAGTCACGAGAAACGCAGTCTTGTGAATTTTAGAGTCATTATTCTCTCTTTTAAGTGGAACTTTGTTTAGATTATTGTTATTCCTAAACTATAATAGAAAATTAGTCATAGCGAAAATATGCAACTGTATATTTTCAAGTGCGACGTGTATAAATTAAATTATTCGCATATCAACAACCATAACTAACAAGTTCTTTTATGAAAATATATTTCTTTAAAAGTTTAATTTGAATTGAATCTAATATCAAAGTATTAAAATTCCTTTATGATCGGTAGATATTCGCTAAAGGGCTAAAGTAAAATTTTTCTACGATCAATCGATGGAGAGGTCAGCATACTCTTTCGAGGGAGAGAAAGGAAAGGATGGACGGAGAGCCAGACAAGTAATAAAAAACTGTTTCGATCGGCAAGAGAGTGACCGATGCTGGCCGACTACAAGGAAATGGGCGGTCATGAACACGTTTCCGAGCCACTCAATGGGACGGCAACGTGTTGCCACAATAGAAACTTTTTGCAATAACATGTTTCCGATACAATAAATACCAAAGCCGTACATGCATACTTTACGGTGAGTGGTCAATATTGTTCGAGAAGTTTCAGACAAAACGAACGCAGGTATCGTAACTCAGGATGCATTTTACAAAGAAAAGGTTGGCGTTCTTAAACATTAAGATAATTAAACATAATTAAAATTAGATTTCCATTTTGCGTATTTCGGTGAGTAAAATTTAAACTAGGAATAAACTTTTGTCTGTATCACATGAAAGTGATTTGTAAGCTTAATTGAACTTTCGTTACTTTGTGTGCCTTGTGAATGCGAAAAGTTTTATTTCATCACAACCCTGCGAAGCTACGTTTACCACGCATCGATTATATGATAATATGAAATCGTTGAGCGTCAATGCGTAAACAATAGCACACGAGCGGATTGCCTGAACCACAGCTTTCTACGTAATTATGGAAAGCAGATGCTATTTATTCTTTATCGTGACACATTTCGATGCACACGCCATGACGCTTTGATACCTTCGCCATGGGAGAAATCCGTTATTCTGTTTTATAACAGATTACCCGTTACGCGTTTTTAGGCGTGCGTGCTCAATTCAATTGCGCTTTGCTCCAATTTATTCGTTAATTTTAATATTATCGTAATAATCTGCAGCTAAAATTAAAATTAACGGACAAATTATACAAAAAGAAAAAATTGTTAAGCCGTTTTCCAATAAAACGTTATGGAGCATCATCCGTTAACTTTAAACTGCTTTTGAATTATATTATTGACTTGAATGATACCTATTTCAATTATTGCAAAAATAGCAGATGTCTTGTACATCGAAGATACACAAGAAGTGTCTTAAAGTTTATATGGTTTGGTCGTTTAGTGGATAAATTATATCGTAGCAAGACAATGTGAGGCACTCAATAACGATTAAACTCATAAAATATAACAAAATATAATTTTAAAAAAACCAAACTATATTACAGTTCCATGCAAGTCCACGATTCGTTTTTTTTTCTTTTCGAAATTGAGTCATTTGTGCTAACGTAACGTATTGAATTTTTGATGACATTTAATGAGCTTTTAACACATGTGCCTCGACATTGCCTCAGACGGTATAGCGACATGCCACCGCGATAGTTGAGATATGAAACGCTCGATAATCGCGCGCGCTGGTATTCCAGAGATCGAACGACGCGACACGCATGCGACGGAAACAGAAGTTTCGTTCGACTTGAAAACTTGCACCCTTTGTTTGTGTATGCGATCCTCACGCGTTGAACGTAGACAAGCAAATATCTTCTCGATTAATATTCACACCCAATTAAGATCTATTCTAGAACTTATTTCTCGAGCGAGAAATTTTTTCACGAATAGCAGTCTGCATTGGCATTTCTCGCGTCTACTCGTCCGACTATATTAAATGCGTCGGATGCGTCACGATTCACGTTTCAGACGATAAAAAACGGCATCGATTTCGCCGCCTAACATCCACACACGCGATGGAGCACCGATCTTTAACGAGGGATACGATGTCGCGAACACGTTCATGTTTAATTTTCTCTGGATTTTAATGTTTTATACTTGACAGCAGAACCCTCACGGCGTATACCGGGGTATGCCGGTAAACCGAATCTTAACGTTAAAAGGTTAAAATTTGGAGATTCGGAAATCGCGTGCCACGTTCATTGAGCATTTGAGCAAATCGCGTAAAGAGGAAATTAACAAATATGGATACACAGCCCGCGGATCGATCCCGGAGCGAATCAGCACGGTGTGACGGGGTCGGGAAAGCCGCTCCCAAAAGGGAGGAGGATCTTCCTTCCTCTCGTTCGAGAAGCGGCGATGGACGAAAATGCAGGATTTTAAAAGCAAGCGCCGTGCACCGGTTGAAATACTTGAAATACGCGGAGGAAGAAAGAGAGCGAAATGGGGGGGGAGAGAAAGAGACGAAAATAGAGAGCGGGGGCAGAAAACCTCCTCGAAGCCAAATCGAGAGAGGAGGAGAGACGAACGGAGAGAGACAGAGAGAGAGAAAGAGAAGAGCAAGAAAAGCCAAGTGACTCCTCGCGGCAAGCTCGACTGGTTACCCCTCCCTCGTCTCTCGCCCTGTTTTTTTGGACACTTAGGACATCGTGCACTCACCTACGCACACGCAACTCTCTCGCATGCTACCCACATATGTATGTATACACAGTACACACACACATACACGTATAGAAACGTTACACGCGAGTTCCCCCCCCCTCTCTTTCCCTCTCTCCTTTTCCCTCGCCATCCTTTCGCACTCCGAATACTCCGGATAATAAATACATACTTACGTGTCGAGATGCATACATGCGAGAGCTAAGCCTCGGCGACGACGTTGGCGGCTACGAGGACGCACGAGGACCAAGGCGGCGACGGCGGCGGCGACGGCGGCGATCGACGATAGCGGTAGGAATCGTCGTGATGGTCGTGGCGGTGGTAGGTGGTAGCGGTCGTAACGGTGTACGATAGTAGCGGCGATGTCGATTGTCGCGGATACCCCGAGAAATGTCCGCGAACACGGCAGCGGCACCGACGGCTTAGACTTCCGTCGGCGCGGGCGACGACTCGCGGACGACGGCGACGGTGACGGCAAGACTTCGCCGACGGGCACGAGAGAGACGTCCAGAACACGGCGTTCGCGGGTTGCCTCCTCGGTGGCCGTACATCGGCGGAGATGGTGGAGTCGTCGCGGACTCGTGGAGTCTCGACGGGGGCGGGGGTGCGCGTGAGCGTGAGCGCGCGCGCGCGCGCGCGTGCGAGAACGCTCACGGTCGTTCGGTGTGTGTCTGTCCCTCTCTCGCTCTCTCGGACGAGCGTCGTTAGCTCTCACTCGCGCACCTACCAGCTTCGTTTCTTACTTCCTTTCTTTCTTCTCGCGGTTTCACCTCTTCCGATCGCCGTTTCTTTCACTTGGCCGTGTGTCTCTCTCCCCGTCTCTTTCTCTCGCGCGCGTTCGCCGCGCTCTCCTGCCTGTCCGTCAGTAACCTAGAAAGCGGCCGCGGCGGCCATTCAGGATTACGGGACCTCCGTCCGTCCGTCCGTCCACCTCTTGCTCGCCTCTCGTCGAAATCAAGTGACGGGGCTCTCTTCCTCTCTCTCCCTCTCCCTCTCTCGTCTTCAGTCGTTCTCTCTCTACCCAGCGAAATTTCGCACGCGATTTCTCCACGTTCCGCCCGCGTCCGAGGTCGGAGTTGTCGGACGCGAAGATGAATAGATGATGCTGCTGTGCTCACGCCGCGAGCGCATGCACGTTTCGTTCGCCCATTACGGCACGCTCGCTCGTGCTCTCCTCGCGTTGCACGACGACGAATCGACTCCGAGCGGGCGTAGGCTACGACTACGACGAGATTTTTCCACGCGGACGGCGCGGCGGACGGACACGACACGCTCGCGGACTCGCGACCAGCGACGCTCGGAGCAGTCGGAGCTGTACGCGATACCGACCAACCGACCGGCGCGCGATCGCCACACCACACGACCACACGACCACACCGCTCCTACTATCGACACTGTGCTCCTCCTTTCTTCTCTCCTTCTCTGTCCCTCTTTCTCTCACGGCGCGCACACTGTTGACTGTACTGCTGTACTCACTCTAGTCACTCTGCTCACTAGTCACTGGGCGTACGATCGCGATCGCGATCGCACAGCGGCCACAGCGGCGGTGCGGCAGATCGGCGGGGAGCAACGAGGAGCGAGCCGAGCGACCGAACAGGGTGAACCGTGCGAGCTCCCCTGCTCCTTTGGTTGGGTCGTTGGGTGTGCTCGAAAGGCGGCGAGCCGCGGTTAAGCGGCAACGACGGCCACAGCGACGACAGCGACGATTCCGACCACGCCGTCCAATCCGACCACGACGGCACCGACCAACGACAAACGCGCGACGCGCGACCGTGGCAGCGTTGCCCTTACGTCTTACGTGCCGTGTCGCGCGACACAACCGCGAATCGCGAATCGCGACGTGCGCGCGGCTCGGTCCCCGGTCCTCGACGCTCAGGGATATTCGCCCATTTGTGACAACGTTCCCGCGTACTCCGAACTCCGAGATGCCCCGCATTAACGACCGACCGTCCCCCACCTATCGCCACGCACACGCACCACGCACGGACGCACGGCACTTGGAGTTTTCAAGATGGCGGCGCGCTCCGCCAAGCGCCGCCATCAGTCATCCAGCGATCCAGCTGGCCGCGCGTCATTTAAATTCGACGCCGTCGTTCACCTCGAGCTCGAGTTGTCGTCTAGCCGTCTAGCGGCTGGCAGCGTTATTGATTCGTTTTACATTTGAAAATAAACGAAAGTTGAAAAGGGAATAACCTGACTTAAAATACCTAGGGTTATATTACTCCGCATGAATATTTATTTTTCAAATACGATATATAAGATTACGTATTGAACCTTGCGAAGAATTTTATTTTGCACAAGTAGAAACTTATCTATCAACAAACATTTAATTAAGTTGCAAAGTACTTTTGCAACAGCTCCTCATATATATCTTTATCGCTTTCCAGAAATAAGCAAAAGATGATTCTATCCACCTGAAAAATAATAAAACGTTCATGTGCTTCATTTTTGGCCGTAAAATAACACGTTGTTGAATATATATGCAGTCTTACAGCATCTTTATTATCGAGAAGAAACTTCTTAACTGTCGATAAAGCCACTTTGGCCGCTGGTCTTTGCGGATATCCGTAAATTCCAGTAGATATGCATGGAAATGCGACAGTACGCAGATGATTTTCTTTAACCAGAATCAGACTATTCTCGTAACATTCTTTCAATTTATCCGGCTTTTCACCTTGCGGACCAACAGTATGGATAATATCTGAAACAAAGTTATTTAAACGTTACGTGTTTAATAAGTTATATAAATTGTGTTGAGTTGAGCTCTTGCACGTGTGTATTGTGTATTACTCACATTTAGCTGGCAGCATATAACCTCCCGAGATTTTAGCTTCGCCAACTCTACATCCTCCCAACGTTGCGCATTCTTTCCTTAAATTTGGCCCTGCTGCTCGGTGAATAGCTCCGTCGACTGAAATATATACAAATTTATTATTTGATATAGAAATATTTTATATCTCTCAAGCATACAAAATGTTCTAATGGGAATATCTTGTACCTCCACCACCTCCCAAAAGACTCGAATTAGCAGCATTGACAATCACGTCTATCTCGAGCGACGTTATGTCTCCTTGCCACATCGATACTTTCTTAGCCACAGCCTCGTCGACTTTTTCAACTTTTTCAACAGTTTTGGCGATATTGGATTTGTTTTTGTCCCAATACTCTGACCATGTGGGAATCTGATCAAGAGTCGTTACCTTTGCCTTGTAAAAGTTCCTCTTTTCCTCTGGCGACATGGCCAAGAATTTTTCTATTTAAAGAAATAACGGAAAAATATTAAGATACTACTCTACAGCCCTTGGATTGTTTTCTATTTGATTGATCAGTCATTGGAACTATTGGAAGCGATTCCTTACGTTTCTCGTCTTCGAACGACATCTTTCCTTCGGGCTCGATGGAAGCGGCCGAACTGCCCCTCACTCCTCTCGGCAAGAAATTCTCAAGGACACGAGCGCGTCTAAGCCTAAAGGAGCAACTAACAACGGTCGCCTAGAAACCAAAAGCAGCGTTCTCGCAACTCTCGGAAGTCACGCGAGTTCTCTCTCTCTCATCAGTTCAGATATGCTCTTCTGCCTTACTTTCAGCGTCAGCATATTCCACGGCGCGAGAATCACTCCGAACTCCGAGAGATCCTGTCAATCATCAACGTCGCGTTCCCATCCCACGAACGACCATGCAAGCGATGCGAGCCGTACAGATTGCAGATTGCAGGGTCGTCGCTTGCCGTATATCATATATCTCGGGTGAATCGTTACGTTACGAAAATAACTCCGCTTTGGCCTCTGCTCGCGATCACTCGCGATTGCGATGACGTGCGATGACGAGCGATTCCAGTTTCCAGTTAGTGTTGTTAACGCCGGTTTTTTCGCGCATGCGCGTCAAATGCGGCTTCAGTTTAATAGTAAAAGCGAGTTCATTAATCACTTATTAATAGCTCGTCCAAAATTTTCTAAATATTTTTGAAAATGTTTCTATATTTTTCAATTGTTTGAAAGGCCGTCTACAACAGGTGTAGTAAGCTTTGATCCGTAAGAAGAGCTTTGACCAATCACAGTCGATTTTTATTCTCCTCACATTTGACTGTGTGATTAGTCAATTACGGCTCAAAAGCTTACTGCACTCTTCTTTTCAGCTGAGGTTGCACGATTCATCTTTCTTTCTTTTTCTTTTCATGTTGGAGAGAAAAAGAAAAAAGATGAACCGTGCAACCAAACAAGTTCAGCTGTTCAGCTGAAAAGAACAGAACAGACCTATTATCAGTTCTCTCGATCGGCGATAGGACTGCTGTCGCCATCTGGCAATTTCAACAGGCTTTACGTTCAGTTCGTGCTGCATTTTGCATTGGTATATAGGGTGTCATTTTGGAGCAACTTTTTTTTTTCATTTTACGAATAGCATATATACTTGCAGGAAGGTAAAATAAGATACCTGTTAAATTATTTATACTTTGAACTTTAAACCTTAATATCGTCTAAATGGTTATATTTATGAAAAAAACATAAGAGACCTTTTTTGTAGATCGTTAAATTTTCTACAAAAATATGTATTAATTATTTCATAATTTTTGATAGTCGATATGATACAACATTCATAAGAAGCAAAAACAATTTTTATAAAATTTATCAAACTTTAACTTTGAATATCTTTTGAACAGTTGAATTTATGAAAAAATGATAAGAGATCTTTTTTGTAGAGCGGTAAATTTACTACAGAAAATCTATGTGGCGCAATGCTGTATTACTGTTTGTTAGATAGTTATAAAATTTTTTCTATCTTACTAAATAAAAAATAAAAAATCGTGATGAGCGACCTGTTAATATTAATATTAAGGGCTAAAATTTTAACAGGTATTTTATTTTACCTTCCTGCAAGTATATATACTATTCGTGAAATGAAAAAAAAAGTTGCTCCAAAATGACATACCCTAGTATATAGTGTCATCTGGAAGCAACGTCCTACAACGTTGAGAATTTTTTGCACAAGGGTAATTACCTGATGGTAATGTCTTCCGTAATGGGAAGATCGGTAGAAAATTTGTCGTGAGCGTTAAAATTTTCCAGAACTCTAATCTATTATAGAACCCCGAGAGTAACGAGAAAGCGTAGAAAAATGAAACTAAAGAGTGTTGACTTTTGTGTAAGTATATTAAGCAATTTCCAGGTAGCAGAGTGAGGTCAACTGACATATAATAACGTCTTAATGACGTCAATAAAATGTCATTAAAACGTCTTTAGACGTCATCCTGCTACCTGGGTTCTTTCCTCTTTAGGGGAGGCACCTCTAATGACCTTGTCTTTTTCATATACATATAGATCATCCTTCTAAAGTAACCTAAAGATTTCAACCGTCGCTCGTTATTCATTAAAAAAGCTGTTAACGAAATAAGTTTAAAAAATATAATACTGAGTTATTCTCAGTATTGAAAGACATAATTAAATGATTAATATATGTATGTAAAAATAATACATGATGCATGTATAAGCGAGGACCCTCCCTCCCCCCTGCATTCTTACTCTAAAAAAAACCCAAACCCAACTTGTGTATTACTGTGTAACAGAGGACAGAGTTATACATACATACATATGTATATCTACCTTTTTAGTGACCCTTATACGAAAGTTATTTCTTAACATAAAATGGTTTCACATATGGGTTTCCAATTTAATTTCTACGCGAACCGTACAATAATAAACCTTGTTGTAAAAAATATATTTACCACGTCTTTTTATAACAAGGTCCATCATTGTATAATATATCTATAAATACCTTCTTAAATGTACACTCGAAAATTACGTTCTATTCATTAAATATATTTTATTAATAACTTTTTGTCTTTTTAGTAAACAACGAGCGACAGTTAAAACCTCTTGAAGATTACTGAGAGGATGACTTTTGTAATATATGTGACAAGGACCATTAGAATCGTTAGATATCCGTCCACATAACTTGTACTTGTACAGAGATCGATGAGAAAAGTGGGAGAAAGTCGATAGAGTGAAGAACCGTTAGAATAAAATAAATAGACGGTCAACGACTGTTTGTGACAACAGATCGATATCAGTCGTAATGAACCATGGCAAGTTTCGGCTCACGTTATCAGCATTCGCTAGAAATACAGACCATCAGTGTAACGTATGTACATTATATATATCACGTAAAATTGTGCGGTCTAATTATCCATCGATTGACGTGAACGATACATGTAGATGATTTTACTGCGGTTTATATGAATCAAGCTGGAATGAATCGAGATTTGCGTGGGCGTACTCATTCGTGGGCGTTTATACGAAAATATGCCTTCAGCACAGAGACATTAACCCATTCCATTTGATATATCGTTCTCGCTCTTGGCGCAGTCACGTAAATGCCATAGTTTTGTGCTTCGTAACTAAACCGGTTGCACTTGCTTCCACTCTTCAACACAAAATCCCAAGATAAATCTCGAGATAAATTTTCCACGAAAAAGGACGAAAGGTTTCTGCGGGAAATTTGCTCTACTTTAAGATCGAGTTTACAATTGCAAGGGTTGCATGTAAAAATGTAGCTTAGTTATGTATTTCACGCATTTTTTCTCAAATTATTGAAAATATCTAGTTTATTTCAATGTTTTTTTGAATATTTCTTTGCATATTATACGTATAACTTTTACGTGCACAATTTTATAAATGTTGCCTGTAGATTTTGTTATGTTTTATTGCCCTATTTTACATTTTGCCTTAAAACTTTAAAATATACTATTTTGCTATTTCTTTATTAAGTGAGGCTTATAATATATAATATACAGCGCAAACAAAATATTATAAGAGAAAGAAAATCCATCGCGTAATTACGTTGGACATCTGAATTTCTGAAATTACGCTGACAGATTACAGATTCAATTCATTGCATTGGCAATATTGGCATTACGCTGTGCGTAATAATTTCGTGAATCTTAATGCTCTTATAGGAGCCCTTAAAATATATATTCTGTAGAAGCCGCGCGTTTATCCAGTTTGAGGAGAGATTGACGGTTCGACGGTATATTTCCAACTTTCGAATAACGAGCCGCCCACGTCGGGTCACCGAAATATGACCTCTGCGATCCCGCATATGTATTCGTCTGTATAGTAAGACTTATAGTTGCACCACTACACCGCGCCGCGCCTGTGCTGTGTGCTGCATCACGTATCTTCGCCCGTAGCCCGTAGCGAGAATGAAAAAGTGGCGGAAGTTCTTGTCAGAGCTTGTGTGTGCTACTTGCACACGAGTTATTATATATGATACCCGGTGTGTTTATGATTAAAAAAGTTTTGAAATATATTAAGAAATAAACTACACGAGATTACGGCGGGTCTTACTTCTCAGCGGGGAAACTTGTGTGTGCGAATAAAAAGAAAAAAATAGAAACCTAAGGTAATCTTTATTTCTTCGCCTTCGTCAGTAATAATTAACAAAGAAGATGGTTTAATTCGACCCGACTGGCCATTTATTAATATAATATTCAAGGATCCAACATTTCGACTATGATTTGTGGTCCTTTTATCAAGTCCTTGAAAAGATAGAAAAATAAAAGTGTCATTCTTCAAAAACTCCTTGAACTTTTCTCGGTTAACTTCCTTAATCTTTTCTGATTGTGAAAAGATAAGTACGCGTCTTTTGTTAGATCTCTTTCATTAATAACGAGCATACGCGAATATGAAAATTGTTGGACTGAAGCAGATATTGTACATTCTCGATTTATATCTAATATATATATATATATATATATATATATATCTTCAAGTAAAATTTGTTGTCGATGTATGGCAAAACGAGGGAGCTAATTATAATAAAGTAACGACTTTAATTTCTATTCGCAAAAGGAGTCGGGAAAGCTATCGAGTAATTTTTTTTGAAATATGTCGAAGGAAGAAAAATTGCGAGTTTCTTAATTTTGCTTCGTTTTTATTATACTTATGCTTGCGCGAAGTATATCAGTCTCGGCTAGATTCAATGTAGATTCGATGCACGTTTGATGTGAATGAACAGTCTCTGACAACGAGACGGCTGATATCGGCGCCGACGCCGACGCCGACGTCGACGTCGACGTCGACGTCATCGGCGGGGAAGCGGCGGCGGTGGTGGCACCGGTGGCCGGAGTAGTGCTTTTTCCACCGGGTTGTGCAGAACGGCAGCCGCGTAGTAGCGCATGCTGAAAACCGCCCCGCTATCGATCCGTCCACGGTCCCGAGCTTTCTCTCGCTTCTCCTCACAAGCCTCGCGAACGTCGCCACCGAGCAACCGTCCTGTTGCCGAGCATACGTATCGGGCGCGATTTTATATATATTTCCGCGTAACAACATATCCTTCCTCGTTCTTCCGTCTAATTTGATTGGCACGTAACGAGTGCCCTAGGAAGTAGGATCAACAGCGGCAGCGTTATGGCACGTCGGGGCGAACACTGCAGGGCGATTTTCCTACTGTGTGAGTTTTCCGAAAGAAAGAGAGAAAGTCGAGTGACATCTTTCTGCTGAAGAAAAGAGTGCTCCGATACGCGTTTCCGTTATTATCCATTCCTCGCTTTCGCGAGAAGCGAGTCGTGCCATTTAATTCTTGTATACGTTGTGATCATGGGAATTGCGTCAAGCATGATTACCGAACCGCGCCATTTAATTCTTATGTTAGATCCGTTGGTGACGTTATCATTCGAATGGAAAAAGTTCTACTAACAATAAGATGATTGCGTGAGCGAGTCTTCTCACGATTACTCGAGTGTTCTGAGTATATAAAGAGAAAAGCAGAGTAAGATATATATATATAGGAAGTGATAAGGGATATTATGTACAGGATTATTTCTTGATACACATAGTATGTCAAAGGTTTATAGTGGCAAATGTCAATAACGATAAGTGAGAAAGCTCGTCGAAACTGTGTTTTACGTCATTCACTTATTGCGGAAAAGAATCATAAAAATTGGTCGTGTGCTTTTATCTATGTATCGATATACTTGACTTTAATTAGAATTTTTACAATGAATAGTTTTTCGGACATTGTTTTCTTGATATTTCAATCCTGTAATTACGCGATTATATTATTAATAGACATACTATTGCTTCAAATATATGAATGTGTGTGTGTATGTGTGAGGAAGATGACAAATGACGTGACTTTGACATGATAAATGTCATTCTAATAAAATCTCACGAGTGATGTAAAACTTTTAGATAAATGATGTGTGTGAGCGGGGCTCTTCTTTACAATCAAAGATACAAATATAACTTCTATCTTGTATTTTCTTCAGTCTTAAGGCATACTTTTTAAATTTTACACGCGTTTAATATTCACTCTAATTTCTCTTTAAACCTAACTTCCGTAATTTAAAGGGAACGCGAGGAAACTGTCTTCCAAGCAAGGGACAACACGGACGTTGTAAATTAGATAATGGACTTTTCATAAAAGTTTTTTTTTAATTTTTCTAATTTGCTTTTAAACTTGACAAAACTACTGTGTGTATGGTGATATCGCGACATTCCTTTTTATAAAAATAATTTTTGGCAGGGTGTGTCACGGGCATAGCGTTTAGTATCCCCCTTCCTTCGCCGATGCCGCGACAAGTGGACGAGCAACGTTATACCACACGGAGAATGTCGAAAATCTTCCTGGAATATCCTACTCCGAAGACGAGATTGCCCTTGGTAAACAAATTTTATTCGATATTTCCACTCTTTATTCATTCATATTACATTCTCTCCCCCCCCCCCCTCTCTCTTTCTCTCTCTCTCTCTCTGTTTTTTCACAATACTACACCTAAACTTTTTAAAATTTTATTGCCGTATTAAATGGCTGTTCGAAAGCTCTCTCAATTCCTTTTCTGGATTCAATTATAATTCCGAATAAACGTGTACAGTACTTTTTTTCAGCGACCAATACGCACTTTTAGAAATACAGCGATTTATATGCCTATACGCAGGAGTAATTATTTAAATGGATTCGTGGAACGTTACGCTAATACAGTTGAAGGGGAAAAAACACCACATTGGATCGTGTATATCCGTACATATACGTCTACATGCTAATGTCCTTACAGTAGTGGGCGGCGACCGCTCCTACATACGCAAGCTGCATTACTAAATCTGCGCGTAATCGTATTACCGCTTATTACGGAGGCCTATTTAACCTAAGGTTTAAATCCGATAATTAACGCCCCCCGAGAAAGCTTCGAACATTATTATTCGATTATATGATACGGCGCAATTATGTGTGTCCCCCTTTTCAGAAAAGTTTGAAAATCTCCACCGCAGTAAGGACCTATGCTTTTTTCAAGGCTGACCTTACGTCGGTCGGATACAATAGCGGTTTTACGCCATCGCTATAACGTATGATAATGCGTGGAATTCATAAAGGAGCGCTGTGTTATACGTAAAGCAATCTTATCAAAACTTTCATACAACTCTTGGCCCGACCTTGACTTTATTCCTGCTACCCCTTAATCCACTCTTATATTTTAATCTCCACATTTGACGCTAATCGTAACTTACACGTACAAAAAAGGCTGCAATGATAAAATTAAAATTGAAACAAAAGAAGGCTAATTTTCTATTTATTATGATAACATCATAGCTAATATTTATCAAACAAAATCTTTTTAAAATATAACTTTAGAAACGTAATATTTACAATTTTTTGTATCAGTCTTCATAAAATTATCGCCATCAGATTAGCTCGATTCTCTCCAGCTGTAAAGTGTCAAGAAGGAAACGAAATCGTTTCGATCGAGCATGATTCCTCATACTGTTTATCATTTCCGCTGAACGTAGGTAGCCTGTTGCTGCTTGCAAATATTTCGTTGAACTATACGCGTTTTGAAATTTACATTTCATCGCTGTTGCATGATAGTCATATAACTTCCTAGCAGTAAATGCCACTAGCGCTGTTATGACCTCTAAACGAAGATTTTACTAATGCGACATTTCGCAATGTGACAATTAAAATGAGGGTAAAGAAATGCTTATTTTTAAAGAGATTTATGTATTTTATATATATAAAATATATATAATATATATAAAATATATATATATATAATATATATATATAAAATATATAAATCTCTTTCTCTCTCTCTCTCTCTATTTATATATATATATATATTTTTTTTCTATATATTATCAAATTTTACATATATTAATTAAAATATTTATAGTTGGAATGAAACATTATTATATTAAATATATATTATTGTTGCAATTAAAAACTTGTTTTTTCCATAAAATAAATTTTTGTTAAGAAAGAATTAGCTCTCTTCTTGATTAAAGAATGCAGAGATAAAACATAGTTTGCAGAAGACATTATACCATATAGTACTACAAAATTACAGATGTGTTAGTGCATTTAGATACGTTAAAGTATTAGACAACTGATGAAATTTTAAATATATCAATAACTTGTTTGTGTGTTCAGACTTCCATTAATATCTTCTTATATGTATAAAGTGTTATGATGTCAGAATCACTTGACTATTAAACCGTGAAATTATGATATAAAGTTCTGAGGCATTCTCAAATAATTTCTCACCATCGTGAAAAATGTTATAATTGTTTATTAATGGGACCCAGTAGCAGAGTGACGTCAAATGACGTATTAATTCTGAAGTTAACTCTCAATGTTGAGAAGATGAAAAGTCGTTAAGCTTTGCAAATTCCGTTTGCTAAGTTCAAACTTAATAAATTTTATAACTTTATTAAATTCTGTGTTTTTTTTCTGAGTTTCCACACGCTTGTGCGCTTAGACTCAAAACATATTTACAGTGGATTTGTTGACCTCTTTGGCGTTAAGCTTTTATAACATCCGATAGCTGCTTTTACTGCACTCCTTGACATTTCGATGGTATTATGTGACGTCATCGTGCAAAGACTTCGCGGCATTCTAGTGGAAACTTTTACTATTACCACCCGCATCGGCTTATGTTCCTTCTTATGCTTTGTAATTGCAAATTTATACATATTGTAACGTTGACTTATGTTACCTGTTTCTATATTAATGATTCGTTACACATAGAGTTGTTATTGCAACAAAAAATTGTTATTGCAAAACTCGTACATTTATGTTACAATAACAGACGACCTTCTATAGAAGGTCATAAGCTTTTGAGCGGAAGTTACCTTTCTAGAATATAACAACAAACTATAAATGAAAATTTTATTGAGAGAGAAAGAGAGAGCAATTTTTTAGATAATAAAAATTCTACCGAACAATTTTTATTAATAATTTTTCATGAGTCAATATGTACAGCTTTATTATTTTATTTTATAAGTAAATATAATTTCTTTTTTAATAATATTACATTGTAATCTTCTTTTTTAGCCGATAGTCAATTCTGAACTCAAAACAACCACGATCGTGCCCTCAACCACATCGACCACACACAAATCGTTTTCCACCGAAGAACCCTTGTATCGGCTGGATGGAAGCAACGGACAAGCTTGCATTCTTCTTCAAGTAGATGCACTCATCACTGTTAAATATCGCACAAAACTCGGCGAGGATCAAGTAAGAAATGCATATGAATTAAATTCCAAAAGAAACAGGAAATCTTGGATCAATGAGCACAACGACGGATAATTATATAATTGATATTGATATCTCTAGGAAGCGGATATCTACGTACCTAACGATGCAATTGTGACCGGAAATTGTGATAACGAAAACACGGTGACAATGTCATTGAAATGGGAAGCCTTCGTACTATCTTGGAGCTTCGCTAAGGTAATCTTTTATATATAACATCGTGTAGTCTATATATTTCCACAGTTGTGTCGTGAGATAAATTCTTGCGCCGGTCAAGAGGCAATTATACGAAAGATAAATCGTTTTAATTGCCAGACACGGTACTGCTTTTTGTGAAAATCGATACGTGACCCTTTTACCGAGATATAGTTCATTTGATTTTCACCTTCATATCGCTGATTGCGTGTTAGAAACTATCACGAGATAATGTCTCGAATTAACTCCACGAATTAACATCTCGGTTCGAGTAATTACCACATTTGGGATAAAAATAGTAGAAATTTCATTAAAAATGATATCCTAGAACAAAACGCAGGTATCGATTGATGAGATATTACTTATACATATACCAAAATTATATTTAGAAGTATGTCTTGCTATATTGTATCTGATCTCTTAGCACAATCCTAGTAATCTTGATTTTTATATGAAGGAATGATAAACCTTGTCAGATTTCCTCCCTATGCTTAACGAGACCTACGATTTTATTTTCCAGACACCAGGTGGTGAACGCTGGTATGTCGAGAAAATCGAACTGACCTATAACTCCAGTGACAAACACTTTGAACATATTGCTCAGCCAAGTAAGTGTCAATCTTATTAGTTTTTGCACAATTTTGCTATTTCGTGTGAAATGTTTTTGCATTTAAGAAAATGCAATAGTATTAAGTCACGTTATTTTTAATAGCTAATAACTATCAACTTTGTACTAAAAATAAATTAAGCTATTGAATACAGTTTATTGTAAATTAAAAACTATTAGATACACTTGACATACATTTTCGAGAGAAATAATATATTGTTAATTATAAAAGTCAAATTGATTATTTTATTAATATTTTAGACAAGACTATTCGACTGAGTACCGGCCAGAAACATAGCTCCATGCTGTTTCCCACACCGGTCGGAAAATCGTACGCTTGTTCCGAAGAAACCGAGATTTCGCTCACCGACGGCAAAAATCATGCCAGCGTACTTTTGAGGTATCCCAACATATTATCGATTTAATTTTAGCAACCAAAGTTGTGTTTAAGTTATAAACAGTAAATCAGACATAATGCAAAAGTTCTAATTTAGCTAAAGTACATTTAATTTTACCTTATATTTGAAACTAAAAATAGATTTATATGAAAGTCAAACCAATATCGAAAGTGACTTTTCTATTCTTTTTCAAATCAAATGGCCACATTTTGTTCAATGTGGAACTTTGTTACAAGTTAATAATATGTATAGCTACATAATACGATTTAGTGTTAGGCAAATTCTTATTCTTGTAAACTGCGTAAATAGAGAATATTAGATTGTCATGAAAATGAAAAATTTCAGAGACATGAAGCTGCAACCGTTCAAGTTCAAGAACAACGAGTTTGCTGCCGAATTTTCGTGCACCTCGCTAAGCGCGCGGGCCAACAGAGACGAGACTGCGCCAGTTGCAGTTGGCTCCACGTTGGCCGCTGCGGTTCTTTTAACAATCACCGGCTATGCGGCCTACCGATATTTCAAAGTGAAGAAGGTTCAGTACGACACGATGGAGTAAAGAATACCCGGGGATCCCACTGTCACGTCGATGCCAAAGAAGCACGTATCGCCAAAAATTGACGCCGTTCGCGAATGAGCGACACACAATTTTTCTCAACACTACGCGCGCTAGTCGTTCCTAGAAAAGAATCAGGTGCGTTTCTTTCTGAAATTTTACTTTTTGGATATTTCTTTTTTGTTAGACATGAACATAGCATATCGACACATATCGACGTATCTTGTAATTATCACGGAAAGAATCCGCGATGATCTCCGAAGATACCTAATAAATGAGTCGATTAACGATTAAATTATAAAGTCCGGCTTAGAGCGGACTCCGCGAAACAAGATATCGCGCATAGAAATCTTCTAGATAGACATATCTGAATACATATCCAGTATACCCTACCGTAAACATTAAAAGATATTTTAAAATAGTTTTTTTATTACTTAAAAAAAATATCAACCTGAATCTATATGTTATAAAAGTAATATTGATTTTTATTAATTAGCATTATAATTTATCTTATTTCAACAAAGTTTTATCGTCATTTAATTTAATTATCTTACAGATGTCAAATAATAATTATACTTCAAAATTATTTTAAAAGAAATCTTTGTTTTATATTTTCTCTTTATAATATGGATTATTTGTCTTCAAAATTAGAAAAAAGTTTTATAATTAAAACCGTCAATCGCGTATTAATGCATAATTACATACATACGGAATTAGATATCATCGACTCATGTGGTATTATAAAAGTGTTGATAAATGATGTAATGAAATTTTCATTGCTAGTATATGCGCGACATATTTGTCAATCGTATCGAATGTCAACATATTCGCTTGAGATTAAAAAAAATGACATTCGTAATCGCAAACTCGGATGGTTGTATCAATAGGCTTTCCAATTTGTAGATTTTGATCTACACATCGTCATATTTATATGAACATTGAAGAAAAGTACTTTGAAATCTTGTTAATCGCGTACATATTTTATCATTACGATAGTTTTGTTGATTACAAGTTCTTTAAATTTCGTATAATTTTCTAGAATACACAAAAAATATATATTTTAATCTCCCGCGAAATACTTGCAATATACAATTAAGATAATTGAATTGTTTCTCTCGGCGTAACTCTTACAATATAATGTATCTTCATTCTTCATGAACATTATTATATGTATATAGGAGTAACAACTATATATATATAGTAATAATAAATATAATACATATAATGATAATTTGGTTAATTCATATAAAGAAATCGAAATAAAACTTCGAGACATTCGGAGACGTGAGAAGGTCCTTTTCGGCAGCTAACAATGTTTATATAGACGGGTATATTATAATTAGATTATAATTAATGAGAATGTATTAAAACTGTTAATACATTTCAATGTGTAACGCCTTAATTATCTTGTACATAGCAATCTATAATTTACGGATTCTTTCCCATTTTTTACACCAGTTGTACTCTATATTTAATTATGCTTTACTCTTTATAACGTAGTTTCGTAAGTTTACCGGTTTACAAGTTTTAGCAAATCTAAGATATTTAACTGTAAATATGAAATTTAATTAGTTGATCATTTTCTTTGTTGCTGTTTGTGTCTTAAGTGGAGATGGATCTGAACTAGGTTACAATTTGATCTTAAACATTATTCGCTTGACTTTACATAATACAAAGTAAGAAATTGTGTATGGATATGTGTGGATATAAATACGCACACGCACACACACACACACATGTACATATACATATACTTGCTGTATATGTTTGTCAAATCTTCTTCGGAATATTTATATGAATATGTCAATTTAAGAAATATAATAAACTTTGTAATAAGAGAGTGGTATTACGAAAACGCCCATAAAAATATTTTTATTTGACTTATTACCTTTGTCGGTGCATGCGCGCACAAACACATACAATATACTGTATAAATATGTGAGCGCTGAAACCACGATTATGTATTATGAATGAAACGTTTACTTTATAAACAAAAATAATTTAAAAATTTTTTCTTACTCATATGCAATCTTCTTTTGATCTCTTCTCGCGCAGGACTTTTTCTGTTCTTGTATTCTATTTTTATATTGGATTTTTCCAAGTATCTGGATCTGTAAAGTTTCGCAAACGTGCATTCATTAGGAAACTACGAATAATTTATTTTGATAATATCCTGGCGTATAAAACTCCAAGTTACTGTAATTTTATATTTATTCAAATTGTGCGGTGTTAAATAGTTATGATATTGCGAGCTTTTCAATCATTTATATAAGATATGATGGGTGCAATGATTATGATGATAAAGGACAGTTTATTTATACATTGAAAATAGCTGATCGCTGGCGACGGCGCACGATAAATAATATAATTATTAGCAAGTTAACATATCTAAATGTAAAACGTATGCGTCCGCGCGTGCATGGATTAAAAATTATATTACATAATTATGCGCTAAATATATTTACGCGCATATTACATCTATGTCGTATAGATATTATATATATGTATAGTACGTACATGAAGAAAAACCTACGTTATCGATATATGCATAACATATAAACCTCTGTCTTCCAAGTGCATATTAAAGTTACTTCGTATGTAAATATATTACGGATATCGTATGTCGTATTTCCAAGATTTGTCAATCGTCGATTCGTGAATGTAGCCGGCAGCGTTGTGCGAGTATCGTGACGATTCACAAGATCTCAAATAAGATTTGAATTATCGTTAAATGGTCTTTAATCAATTTTTCGATACTTTGCAGCAAATGCGATAAACATGCATTCCCTAATTTAAAAAAAAAATGTATATTACGATAAATCTAGACTGGATAGACTCGCTTTTGAAGCAACCATATTGCCTGTCATATACAAAATACGCTATATAATTCAGTTACATTTGTCGCTATCTCAATTATAATTTCAAGAAATTAGTTTGAACCAAAAACTGGAAAGATCGAATGAATATCATGCATGCTCGCGGTATCGTGATATTAACACGAAGGAGGTCTAGCTGTAATTATAAAAATGTATTTTTGTGCTAAAGTCAATCTTATACCATAGATATTAACTGATAGTAGCGATTAAGATAGTTAGCGGCGCGATTTAGCGGTTTATGTCTCGCACAGTAATACGATAAATTACATTCGGTGAATCTCTTAACGATTTTGCGCATTTTTTTTTTGCATTTGCAAAACAACACGGAGATACGCATATGAAAGCAACGCGCAGTGACTAAATTGCTGAATCGCGACGTTTTTACGGTGAAATGGCGTCAAATTATGAATCATATCGCTTGACCTATAGCCGCAGCGTTAAGTCTTGTAACAATTATTATAATGCATTACTGCGGAGATCGCGGAAACAGGGAGATGGATTCCGGTTTCACGTATCATAGTGTATCATATCGTCTATTAAAATTGTATCATATCGATAAAATAAAAGCTGTTATACAAGTTCACTCAATCGTGCATCGTGTCCACGATAATTTATGCCAAAATTTTTCGAATTACGATAATCTCGCAATCCCAGAAAAATAACACATTATTTTTGCAGTTGTCGCATATCATGTTTTTGAAGAAACTAACAAAGTAAGATAATTAATCATTTGAAAAACTATGTTTAAGGTAATAACCAATTATTATTATTCTCTATTTCAGATAGTAAACATATAACCGATCTTCTTGTTTGTTTCAAATAATTTTGTAATATTTACGAAAATAATTGTCGAGAAAAAATTTAAGAAAAAAAAAACGGTGATATTTGGCGTTGCAAACTTGCAAAATATATATAGCTCTCGTAATCATGTTTTATTTTATATACATGGGCATTACGCCTTTCGAAAGCAGATGTCTATTTGGTGTTCACGGGGCGGAGGGTCAGAGATATAATAATCTCGCGTCGTGGAAAGGGCGTGAAAAGTACAGTCAAGCAGGCTTATGCTAGCCGTGGGGAGCCCTGGCATGGTTCCCTTTGCGCAACACGACGCACCGTCGTCAGCGACTCATTGTTGCAATGTCCATTGAAATCTCTCACAACAATGGCGCGCGACAAGACGATCGTATTGTCGCGGGTCGCCTGCGAGAGCATCTCGGGCCTTTTGCGCCTGCGGGTGCCTGCGACCGAAGAAATCGCCGCTCTCGGCTCCTGTCACCGAGGATTACCCCTCGTAGCGCGGATTATAGCGACGCGCGATTATTCCGCCAATTTAGTATCTAATTAAACGAGTCCGCGAAAAATGCTCGAGGGAACGCAATCGCGAGATGGGCAGCAAAAGAAAAGTAGCACATATGTTGCTGCACTTGGTATACAATTTATAAATATTAATAGTAGGTAATAAATCATGACCGTTAAAAAACAAAAAAGGAAGAAACCGTTCGCGGGAGAGGAGTTTATTTCGCGCGATCCAATCGCGCGTTTGTAATTGGCCGACGCCGACGCGACGCACGCCTAATTAGCAATTACCGCGGCACAGTTTCGCTTAATTGGCCAGAAATTTATTCTTCGTACATCGGGCGATAACACGGCGGCGGTGGCGGCGGTGGTGCATGGTGACCGGGATAATTGAACGTAATTGACCACGTTTGATGACAGATGTACCACTGGATTCGATAGAGATGGTTCGCGCGCGCCGCGCGAAGAGTGGAGCGGAGAAGGGAGGACAGGGTGAGCGTGGAGCTGCGTGGAGCTGAGGGGGACGGAAGGTACGACGCGCGGTAGCGGGGTACGGAGGTACGACCTATAATTTATAAACTAGGGGCTGTTTTGGGGTAATTGCAGATAACGACGGGGCGGTCCGGATAACAAGCCGACATGGGAGTCACTGGACACCGGTGCCGCTCCACCATAACCTTAGCGTCGTTACGTACGGTAATCCCTGTTCTGTATGTGTATATAGTATAGTTTGCAACCCTGTCCAAGCATAAGTTATGTCGCGCGATGATATCTCACCGCCGAGGGTTGAGAGTTAATAAACGACCGCGGTTGCAGCGAATCGCCCACCAGTCCCACCACCGCCGCCTTTCGTCCTTCGAACTCGTTAGCTCCGAGCTCCGAGTGTCGAGCGCGATGTCGTTTAGACCGAAGCGAAGGATAGACGATTCGTTGTTTTCCTATCGTTTTATTAACTATTCATATCAAAATTATTTTAGAATACTTGATAATATAATTGAATTAATTGTGCGCAACTGTAATCGTTAATTTGATGATCTCTTATGTGTCAATGATAAATGATCGCATCATCTAAATTAATTTCCTGTGATAATTTTACGATGTAACCACAAGTTGTGTATATTATATTATTTAATTATGATTTTTATGACAATAATTTTGCGCAGAAATAATTTCCGTACTTTAGTCAGAATCTACTTGTCAGAATCACACATGTTGTTAGCATAAGCATAAAGAGCAATACCTACTTCGCCGTGGATTCGTGGACAGTCCATTTGAGTGAGTATATACCATACAAT